TGTATATTTTATGACTGCTTGATCCAGGTATATCATATGGTTTCTTGATCCAGGTATATCATATGGTTTCTTGATCCAGGTATATCATATGGTTGCTTGATCCAGGTATATCATATGGTTGCTTGATCCAGGTATATCATATGGTTGCTGGATCCAGGTATATCATATGGTTGCTTGATCCAGGTATATCATATGGTTGCTTGATCCAGGTATATCATATGGTTGCTTGATCCAGGTATATCATATGGTTGCTTGATCCAGGTATATCATATGGTTGCTTGATCCAGGTATATCATATGGTTGCTGGATCCAGGTATATCATATGGTTGCTTGATCCAGGTATATCATATGGTTGCTTGATCCAGGTATATCATATGGTTGCTTGATCCAGGTATATCATATGGTTGCTTGATCCAGGTATATCATATGGTTGCTGGATCCAGGTATATCATATGGTTGCTGGATCCAGGTATATCATATGGTTGCTGGATCCAGGTATATCATATGGTTGCTGGATCCAGGTATATCATATGGTTGCTGGATCCAGGTATATCATATGGCTACTTGATCCGGGCCATGGTATGATCCACTTGCTTAGGTCTGAAAAGGAGCAGTAATAGAGGCTAGTGAAGACATACATGACCAATCTGGATCCATCTAATTGGGACATACTCAAAATCACTTTTCTGTCATGCACAAATTAAACTTCAGCCGAGTATCTTGAACATGCTCCTCCTACGGTAAAAAAAACAGAGCTTACTTCTCGCATAGTTTTAAATCAGATTGGTAGAGGCCAACTGACAAGGATGGAAGAGAAACCAGAACTTTGTATGCACATGCAGAAGTTCTTCGATCAGCAAAGGTATTGAAAAAAAATATATGTCATTGTTTTCTTTTCTTCAAAACTTTTAAGTCATATTTAGAAGAAAAGTGAATAAAGCAGCATGTGTGCCACATGTTAAACATACACTGCATGACGTATGTAAAAAAGTCCGTGAAGCTCTGACGGGGAAGGGTGGGGGTGGGGGGTGGGGAGGAACCTTGAAACGCCTCGGCCAGCATTTCTCCATGATAAATGTCTTGTGAGCTTAGAAGCTTTTGGGACGTAATAAAAAGAACTTAATGGACAATTTCTCGAAATTGCTAAGAAAAACCGCGTGCTGTCGGTAGGGTATAATAAGAGGATTTCTCATCACGGAGTCTGAGATTGAACGTCTGCAAAAGGAGAGAGAGAGAGGGAGAGAGCAGAAAAAAAAAATAGAAGAAAGGATTTATCTCTTTGGTAACTGAGTAATTGAAATACAGACGAGCTTTGGTTCCAATTTGCCAGCAATAAAGTTGTAATGGGGTTTTCTCTGCAATTTTACCCTTAATGTGCTCATTCTAAGCAGCACTATTTTTTCCAAGCGAACAAATAACCTCAGTACAGCTTACTAGCAGTAATAGGCGCAAGCTGATGCTCGTATTAAACCTTTTAAATCAATTCACTAGTCTCTACAAGCTGCAGTGTCTGGCTACTGTGTTGATTAACACTTTCACAGCTCATGGTGGCTTTTGCAAACATCAGTATGAGCGGAGACTGGAGACGTTGGGGTATGTTTACCATTTCGCATCAAGTGACATTTTCACACCCTGCTTAAAAAAAAACCCAAAAACTAAATGATAAGGAATATATTTTAAAATATATATTTTTTTTTATTTTGCAATTAATTTGCATTTGGTTGTAACAATGACAGAAGGACATTTGCCCAGTGTAGGGGTCCACCAAATATTGTACAAGGAATGCAACAGGGCTGATCATTGGTGCCTTTGGACATCTCTTAAAAGCCCCACCTAGTGGCAAAGAAGGACTGTCTTGTTTGTAGGTATGAATTATGTGGTCTGGAAACAATGTTTGATTCACATGAAACTGTGCAAATAAAACACCTTGCTAAGGGCTCGTTCACACTTGACTTTATTACTAACTCTTGCCAAACGTCCCTATAGCAGTTGACAGGCGTTAGGCGTTTGGGAAGTGTTTTTAACGTTCCTCAAATACTCCCCAAACACCCTATGTGCGGTTTTGAGTCGGTTGATCAGCGTTTGCCAAGTGTTAAAACCGCACCACAAATGCCTATAATGAAGTTAAATGGTATTAACGCTCCGCAAACCGCCTCGCGACCGCACCACAAATGCCTGCCAAGCGTTTGAGGAGTGGCACCATGGACTTGAATGGGATGCTTCAACTCCTCCTGACTTGACACAAGGGGGGGGGGGGGATTTACTAAAGCTGGTTTACTTAAAATCTGGTGTAACTGTGCATGATAGCCAATCGGCCTCTAACCTCAGCTTGTTCTGTTAAGCTTTAGAAGTAAAACCTGGAAGCTGATTGGTTTCCATGCAGAAGTGCATGAGATTCTGAGTGAACCAGTTTTAGTAAATAAACCCCAAGGTGTCAGTTTTGCCGCAACGCGACGCTAACGCTTCAGTGTGAACAACACTGTGTGCTACCATGTGCAGAATTTACATAGGTGTTTGAGAAACGTTAAAAAACGCTTCCCAAATGCCTGTCTTGACGCCTGCTGACAAAGCTAGTGTGAAAGTAGCCTAAGACTTTTAGCAAACTGGAATGCTTTCTCCACATCTTCCTACAGAAATAATTGAGTACTGTCCATGATATTTTTTTATTTGCACTAACATACAATTTTGAGGACAAGCTTTCGGGGAGTGTCCCCTTCTTCAAGGTCCAAGCAGAACTTGAAAAAGGGGACACTCCTCGAAAGCTTGTCCTCAAAATTGTATGTTAGTGCAAATAAAAAAAGTATCATTAACAGTACTCAATTGTTTCTGTCGCAAGTGCACTAATACGGCTACAATCACCTCCACATCTTCCTGAAATGTAATAAAAAGCAGTGATTCTGCGCAAAGTGCAGGAACCCATATCTACCAGTCAGATTAATTCTGATTAATTGGATGAATTCTGATTAATTGTTGTGGGTTACTGTACATTACTCCATGAAATTTGCCTTAATAAATATGCCTAATTACATAGTTTGTATCCAAAAATACTTTTTTCTTGATGATTTTCTTGAATAATGTAATCATTGTAAAGGGCCTACTTACTGTATACTTGAATGTGTGACTAAGATAGAACACAGTGTTCGTAAATGTCATGAATGCATATAGTAAAAAGAAGCAGATATTGAGTGCCTCTAAATGTAAACTGATAAGTGGGGTACACTCTATGAAAAAATTGGACGAAAGATCGACCTATTTTCCACCAAGTTGCGTAACATGATGTACACGACAATGGTACGAACGTATATAAATAATTATCGATCGCCAATGCCACACATTCTTTCTTGTGTTCTATTTCCATGTTTGTTGCCACCTTCTTCTGGATCATTCTTTGCTTCTGATCATGCTTGGGTTTTTTTATTTGATTATTTCCATATGATTACAGTACACATTGAGCGAAAATCAGATGTGTTCACGTACAATAAAAATGGTCTAGCTTGCACCTTCAGTTTTTTCCATCCAAACAGTAGTAATTGGCTGTTGAATGCACTACATTAACGATCAGATAATCGACTGATCATCCCTCATACAGAATTTTTATCCAATTTTCTAATAGTGTGTACCCAACTTTAGATGGAATTTCTGGCATCAGTAGACATGCAAGATGCCTGTCTTCACATTCCCATCTTTCCCACCCACCAATGCTTTCTATGCTTTGCTGTGAGAGACCAACACTTTCAATTTGTTGCCCTGCCATGTAAAGGTTCATAAGTCATCACTGACTATCGTTTTAACTGTTGCTTGGACTGGGGTATATCTGTGATCTGGACCGGTGCACACAGTTTGAGCTGTGGTTGCATAGCTTGAAGTCAAGTTCCAACATGAGATCAACTAGCTCTGCTCTGGCTGTTCATTCAAGTTGTTTGCCTTTAACAAATCCAGTGGAGTCTCCCCAGGGATCACCAGTAGAACACGATCAAGCAAACTCTTGACACCTAACATAAAGATGAAGAACTAGGTCTACATGAGGTTCCCCATATTAAGGTGATTCTTGCCCAGCCAAAAAGAGAAAACGAATAAGCTATTGTACAGTACTGAAATATAACACTTTACTGCCATATCTGTTTTTCAGATGTTTGCGTTTATATAAGCAGTGTTGGCTGGAGATTGTCAGTTAATTCATGGAGCTTAAAGTATGTAAACCCACATATTGTAAAGTAACCCATTCAGTTTAAAATAAAAATGAAAAGCAAAATGATTGTGTTTATATACATATACCAGTACTGGCGCTAGCGCCACAGGTAACCAACACAAAGAGGGTCCAAAAATTCTAAAATATTTCCAGCCTTGAAAGGGTTCATTTTTAATAGTACCACAACCTTGCCGCTCACAACCAGTGGGCACTGGAAACTGCAAACACACAAACAAGAGAGAAGAACACACAGACTCTGGTGCAATGTCCTTTATTTTGTAATAAAAATTTGATAGGAGATCCAGCTGACAGTGTGGATATGGTAGCAGTCCTGGACTGAATGCAGTCGCCACTGTGCTTGATCTTATACATACACACACATACACTATATTGCCATAAGTATTGAGATGCATACCTTTATACGCACATGAACTTTAATGGCATCCCAGTCTTAGTCCGTAGGGTTCAATATTGAGTTGGCCCACCCTTTGCAGCTATGACAGCTTCAGCTCTTCTGGGAAGGCTGTCCACAAGGTTTAGGAGTGTGTCTATGGGAATGTTTGACCATTCTTCCAGAAGTGCATTTGTGAGGTCAGCCACTGATGTCGGATGAGAAGGCCTGACAAGGCCTGGCTCGCAGTCTCCGCTCTAATTCATCCCAAATGTGTTGGGGTCAGGACTCTGTGCAGGCCAGTCAATTTCCTTAACCCCAAACTCGCTCATCCATATCTTTATGGACCTTGCTTTGTGCACTGGTGCACAGTTGGAACAGGAAGGGGCCATCCCCAAATTGTTCCCACAAAGTTGGGAGCATGAAATTGTCCAAAATGTCTTGGTATGCTGACACCTTAAGAGTTCCCTGCATCCGATGCTTTGCATTGCCCTTGGTGATGTAAGGCTTGGATGCAGCTGCTCGGCCATGGAAACCCATTTCATGAAGTTCTCTACGCACTCTTGTTATGCTAATCTGAAGGCCACACAACGTTTGAAGATCTTTAGCTATTGACTCTGCAGATAGTTGGCGACTTCTGCGCACTGTGCATGCGCTGACCCTGCTCTGACATTTTATGTGGCCTACCACTAAGTGGCTGAGTTGCTGTGGTTCCCAGTTGCTTCCACTTTGTTATAATACCACTAACAGTTGACCATGGAATATTTAGTAGCAAGGAAATTTCATAGATGAACTTATTGCACAGGTGACAACCTATCACGGTACCACGCTTGAATTCACTGAGCTCCTGAGAGCAACCCATTCTTTCACAAATGTTTGTATAAGCAGTCTGCATGCCTAGGTTCTTGACTTTATACGCCTGTGGCCATGGAGGTGATTGGAACATTTGTATCCAATGATTTTAAGAGGTGTCCCAATAGTTTTGGAAATATAGTGTATATTATAAAAATGATTATAACCTATTTCCCTTTATCCTACATAAGTGATCACATGAACTCTGTTCTCAAATGCATAAGGGGCTTGGATAGGTGGGGGTGGAGACTGCAAGGAGGAATGTTAGCAGGAGGAAAGGAGATAGCAGGACACTGGTCATCCCAATATCCCAATTAAGAGCTGTGGCGGGGGAGGAGTATCAGCGCCAGTCTTTGCCATTGGAGGTTGAGCAGGCTGTTACTCCAGCACAGCACGTCCAGAAAACTGAATGCGCTGGATGTGCTCTCATGCTTAGCATGGTATGTTTGAAGTAGGAAAGTAGAGGGACTGGCAGGATCACCAGGTATTTCATATAAAATAATACAAAAAGAACAGGATACTGTTTAACACAAGTACATGGTACAGCAGGCACATATCAAGAATATTAAATGCTGGGTAACATATTCTTTAACTTATACTCTACCTATAAGTACTCATCTAGTGTTAGGTGCAGAAGTCAAATTAAACGACCTGATACATTTTTTAGATAACTTCATAAAATTGTTTAAAAAAAATAACATAAAACTGAAAAGCCATTGTTTCATCTTTAAACAATCAGCATACTTTACAGTTTATTTGAAATCCAACATAAGTATTGTCTGAGATCAGAGGTTTTTTTCAGCTATTTCATCCAGTTCTAAACTATAAAGACAACATTTGGATCTTGGAGATCAGTCATGCGTGTTATAGTTATCAACTGCATCGGTTTGTTTGCTGTTCTACCAACATACACATTGTACTTCTGTAAACTGTAAATAGCAGTTCACATCAGCATAGGGCACACTCTTTCTACAAATCAATATCTGTAAAAAAGAAGTTCAGACATGGAACCTACAAATAAAACAAAAATAAATAAGTAATAATAATTAAAAAAAAAAAATATATATATATATATATATATATATATATATTGTTTGAATACATTCTTTTTCAGATTTGTTTTTTTGCCAATTGACTTAAGTGTAAATACCATAACTATACAGATGTACGGCAGAGACAGTATTTTTTAGTTTTGGTATGTTTTACTGATTTCAGCATATTTTGGGAGGACCTTTAACCAGTTTCAGAAAACATGCAACTATACCACAACTTTCACGCAACCCTTCACTGAGCCGTCATTGACAGTGGTTGTGCTTTTTTATAATCAAGTATAGTCTGAGCAGCAATTTAAGCTGGCCATATACAGATAGACATTCAGCTGGTTCAGCAGGGACTGGACAAATTTTGATCCATGTGTGACCACTGAAGTTGAAAACAAGTCAATATACTGACTGACCTCTGTTCAACCACCCTGTCAGACGTTTCTTGCTCATTCAACACTGCACACATCCATATCGAGTGTGTAAATGGGGGAATCGGTTCAGTGTTATTTTGTTGAACGCACTAATTGAACAAAAAAAAAACTGATTCATGTATGGGCAGCTTTACCGTTTGGTGCTGGACTCCTAAGATAACCCAAGCACAGTTGGTGTACAAGCAAATCTTTCATAGCAGGTTGATTACATGTCATAAATTAATTTTTACTCTAGGACCCTCTGATACGTTAATGCTGACCATGGACAGGTATTGTTTCAAATTTGATCTCACAGATTAGCAGAATTTTCAACCATGTGTGGGTTATCTGATTGGATATGTTTTGAATAAATTGTTAGGTAGGCTGTCATACAACTAACATAATATTTCTTTGTAGATTCTGTTGTTCTGAATGAAACTCTGGTTGTGGGTTGCCAGTTCTGGGGTTACAGTTGATAAACCAAGGTAATGAGACTCTCTGTTTTGGGAACATGTATATGTGGGACCACCTTTTTGAAAACCTGTTATGGGGCCTGCCTTTGGTGACCTTCACTTCCAAAATTGCTAGTTGACTGCCTTTACGCTGGCCCTCTGTCTTCGATATTGTGAGTTCCAGACTAAACGAAGGGTTGGCATAAGAACCAGGTAAGTAGCTTTTCAAAAGAAGTTCAGTAATGGTGGTCACTGAATTTCTGTCATGATAAGTTTATCTTAATGATCACAATGATTTGGAAGAGATAATCTGCCACTATTAGAAGCACGTGATATGACTACTGAGCACCTCACAAGGCCAGTTTTAGTACTTCTGTAGGTGGAAATAGACAAGAAACTGTCTGCAATATGCCCATTGCCTGTAGTGCTAGGACCTGCCACTCTTTTTTTTTTTTTTTTTTTTTTTTTTTTGTCTGATCTACCTGATGGACAGAAGCTGCACATTCATGGTTAGTACCTGCAGGGCATTTTTTCAGCTGGAACTAGTGGAACACAGTTCCACCACCTTTGTCCCAGGCCCTCTGCTCCCAACTCACCACTATCACTTGTAAACACAGAGGTCCATCTTCTGTGTTTACAAGTGATAGCTTGTTTCCCATTGGCTTCCACAGAGCTGATCCCCTGAGCGGCTTCCACTGAGTGCAGGATGGGGACAAGGGAGATGCAGGTGCCCAGGGTGCAGCGTGGAAGCCTAATCCACACTGGATGATCTCCCTGCAAGTGAGAGGTAGAGCCACCTACATTGTGTGGGGAGGTACTAGAGCCAGCTGGGTGGAGAAGATAGGAGCAGTGGAGGGGGGGTTGCATGTAAAGGTCAGAGCTGAAGAGGGTTGAAAGAGAGATTTGGATGGGGGATGCAGAAGGCGAGCTGCTGTGGAAAAGGGCTGAACTCTGCACTTCGTGTGTAACGCCCCCGAACTCTTCACTTGGTAAGTAATGCACTCTTGGTATTTAATGTTCCTTTAGGACATTCCCACTGTTAGTGAAATTTGACCACACTCTATTTGAGACAGTTTGGAGGGTGCGTGTGTGGAGGGATGGGAGGGTTTTCGGGGGTTGTGGTTGAGTTCCTGCACCTATTTTCTGACAAAAGCCTAAGTACCTTCCACACATACATTTTTAAATTTGTTGGAAAATCTCCTAAAGGAAAAGCAAGATTTTCTGATGACCAGATAAGTTATATCACCTAGTAGCCCAAAACAGCCTGATCCTCTGCAAAGTTTATATTACAGGTTGGAACGGAGACAGATTTAGTCCTTTTATGGTTAACCTAACTCTCTTGGTTCAACAAATGACAATTCCCTCTAGCTTTTTTCTGGGACCTTCATTCTAGATCCTGAAAATATACTTACTATACCATGGCTTCATCTTGATTCACTTGCTATTATATGTAAATCCCAGACTTTAGATGACTAATTTCTGTTTGACTGTATCTCGGAGCCCAGGTGAACATCAGAAAGTCTCTCAGACTGGTAATCATGCTTCACTGAGACATGCTGTGAAAATGGCATTGTTATTTAGAAACATTACAAAACCCAGACTCTGTTTTCCTGCCACTCGCCACTATTTCACTCAGCCAATTTAGCCGCCTTCCTGCAGGGAGCGAATGGAGCAATTAAAATTAGGAACACAGATTTTCACATTCATAGGATCCACATCAGGGACGAGTGATCATAAATTAAATCATTTTCCTTTCCCGCAAAGTCATATCTGTATTAAATGAGGCTGAGAGACAGATACATTGAGGTATAGTGAAAGTGGGACTACAAGATGTAATATGACACAGAGGAGAAGTTATGATTAGAAGACAGGTTGAACAAAAAAGAATAAGACATTGATGATGAGGTAAAAGTAATCTGCGTGAAGATGAATGAGACAGGAGAAAGGAAAGCTTAAGAGAGCAAAAAGTGGGTAGCTGGTTATTGCCTGTCAAAATCAGGAGCTCCCTCTATTCATAACAGGTTCTGTATATTGAGAGAATGGTATGTGTGTATATAAATGTGGGGCCTAAAGTACGCATGCACTTTAAATATCTAGACATTTCCATTTCTGAATGCTTATCAGCCACGTATCAGTCCTGCTGAACAGTGAACATGACCCAAATGGCCATGGTTAAACATATGCCAAGTACTGTGCCACAAGTGAGAATCTTAAAAACTTCAAGACAAAGGATCATTAAAAACTGAAATTTTACAATATATATATTTACAATATATATTTCTGCACACATAATATAGAGCTAACGCTATGGGTTGATTTACTAAAACTGGAGAGTCCAAAATCTGGCGCAGTGGTGCATGGTAGCCAATCAGCTTTTAACTTCAGCTTGTTCAATTAAGCAAAAAACTGGCAGCTGATTGGTTTATTTGCAGAGCTGCACCAGATTTTGCACTCTCTAGTTTTAGTAAATCAACCCCCATGCCTAAATTTCCCTAAAGAAGAACTTAGTCAAAAGAGTAGGGTGCTATTTAGCAACTAGCAAATGTTGCAGCAATACAAACCTTGGCCATAAGTATGCAATGTACAACACCACTTACAGAGCACAGCAGCCTGCATTATATACTGTGCAACATAGCATGTAGGGTGCAGGGTCATAGCTATGTAGCATACTGTACAGCACAGAGTATGAAGTGCAAGTTCAAGAGTATGTAAAATAAAACTTAGCGTGTAGAGTGCAGAGATCAGGACAAAGTAACCGTGTATAGAACGTAGAAGGCTAAGTTTGAAGCATACATACTGTAAAGCATAAGAAAAAGCCATTAAAAAATATAAGAATGAAGGCAGACTATTATCATTTGAAATGGAATTTTGAGAGTATAACAGTATATGTAAAAAAGGAAATCAAGGCCACAAAAATTCAAAGGAATGTCAAGTTGCAAAAGAGAGTAGGACAAAAAAGTCTTCACATATGTTAATAGTATAAAGGTCAGGTCTGAACATGTAGGCCTTTTGCAAGATAATTTAGTGTTAGTGACTGGGGAAAAAGAGAAGGAAATACCTTCTTAAACTCTGGGTATACCACAGAGAATGAATGAAGCAACTCAAGCCCATAATGCGTATAGTATTGACCTAACTCCA